GATCTCAGCTCACTGCAAGCTCCGCCTCCCGGGTTTACGCCATTCTCCTGCCTCAGCCTCCCGAGTAGCTGGGACTACAGGCGCCCGCCACCTTGCCCGGCTAGTTTTTTGTATTTTTTAGTAGAGACTGGGTTTCACCGGGTTAGCCAGGATGATCTCGATCTGCTGACCTCGTGATCCACCCGTCTCGGCCTCCCAAAGTGCTGGGATTACAGGCTTGAGCCACCGCGCCCGGCCTCACTCTTCTCTTAGATTAGCTGTTTTCCAGTTGCTTCAGTTCACCCTAATGTTTTAGAAACACTATTTGAAAAAGTCCTTTGTGCAGTCAGAAGGGTGTGTACCCAGCCCCACGAAACCTCTGGAGCTCTGGGACCTTTTCCTTGTACTCCAGAGCTGTCAGCAGAGGTGAGTGGGGCGGGCAGCCACCCGGCACAGTCTGCTCTTCTTTCCTTAGCACTTGCTTCAGGAATGGGTTAAGGCCACCTGTCCTCACTGCTCATAGAGCTCAGCTGATGAGTGCCTGCTGTTTCCCAGGTCCCCGTGGGCACGCTGGTGAAGGAGGGAGGCAGAGTCGTGGCCGACTTGTCTCGCGTGGGAGACGAGTACATCGCCGCACTGGGCGGGGCAGGAGGGAAAGGCAACCGCTTCTTCCTGGCCAACGACAACCGTGCCCCTGTGACCTGTACCCCTGGACAGCCAGGACAGCAGCGAGTTCTCCACCTAGAGCTCAAGACGGTGGCCCACGCCGGGATGGTAGGTGTCCCCACTGCCAACAGCATCGCACACACTGAACTCTAGAAAATCCACTGTTCTCGATGGGGATTTGCCAGTGGCCTAGAAGAGAACAGCTGTGCGGCTCACCTTTTTCCCACCTGTACACTGCTGACTTCCCTCTTTCCCCCAGGTGGGATTCCCCAATGCCGGGAAGTCCTCACTGCTCCGGGCCATTTCAAACGCCAGACCCGCCGTGGCTTCCTACCCGTTCACCACCCTGAAGCCCCACGTCGGGATCGTCCACTATGAAGGCCACCAACAAATAGCAGGTAGAACTTCCAGAATTCTCCCAAAGGTTACGTTTAAATGACATAATTCAGAAAAATAATGATGTAACTCTTAAATTTAGCTTTCTGTTTAAAATGTAGCATTGTTGACCGGATGTGGTGGCTCACCCCTGTAATCCCAGCACTTTGGGAGGCTGAGGCAGGTGGATCA